GCCCATGTCTTCAAGCTAGAAGACCAACTGAAGCTGCGCACAACTTCAGTTTCTCCAGAGTAACACCCTTTGTCAACATATCAGTAGGGTTCTGGCTTCCACAAATTTTCTCAAGCATCAACTGTCTGTCACCAGCAATGATCGTATGAAGTGATATCTGATCTGAATGTGCTTTGTCCTGGACTGAAATGCTGGATTTCTGGCAAGGAACATAGCGCTCTGACTGTCACAGTAGAGAATGCCCTTTTGATCATTCTTGCCCAATTCTTTCAAGAAGCTCTGTAGTCATATCTTCTCCTTTGCAGCTTCTGACACTGCTATGTACTCAGCTTCTGTAGTAGACAACGAAACTGTCTTTTGCAGATTAGAGCCCCATGATACTGCAGTGTCACCAATAGTGTAAATATAGCTTGTAGTACTTCTTCTAGTATCAATGTCTCCAGCTAGATCAGCATCAACATAGCGTCGTATCTCTGAACTCTTTCCTGAGAAACACAAGGAAGTTACTGCAGAGCCTCTTAAGTACCTCAAGATCCACTTAACTGTTTCCCAATATTCCTTTCTAGGATTACTCATGGATCTGCTAACGACTCCCACTACATGGGCAATATCAGGTCTGGTGCAAACCATAGCATACAAAAGTGAACCAATAGATGAAGCATAAGGAACCTTACTCATGTAATCTCGTTCCTCCTCTAACTTGGGTGACTGATTCTTGCTGAGTTTCAAGTGACTTCCCAAGGGTGTGCCAACTGGTTTGGCTTTATCCATATAAAATCTGCTAAGTACCTTTTTTACATGCTCAGCCTGAGAGAGTCTCAACATGCCTCTGACTCTATTTCTGACAATTCTCATACCAAGGATTTGATTTGCAGCTCCCAAATCCTTCATTGCAAAGTGCGCTGACATCTGCTCCTTCAGATTATTGATCTCCTCAATGCTAGCACCTGCAATAAGCATATCATCCACATACAGCAGTAGGATGATATAAGAATTGTCAAAATACCTGACATAGCTACAGTGATCTGCCTGACATCTGCTGTGCCCTGCACTGTGCATGAAATTATCAAATTTCTTGTACCACTGTCTAGGAGCTTGCTTCAGGCCATACAAGCTCTTCTTCAATCTGCAAGCAGACTCTTCCTTTTCTTGTACCACGAACCCTTCAGGTTGGTGCATGTAGATGTCTTCTTCAAGATCCCCATGAAGAAAAGCTGTCTTCACATCTAACTGTTCAAGGAAGAGATCTTCAGTAGCCCATGAAGAAAGACTGTCTTCACATCTAATTGTTTAAGGAATAGATCTTCAGTAGTCACTATAGACAGTACCATTCTAATGGTTGTAAGCTTCACCACAGGAGAGAAAATCTCGGAATAATCAATACCGTGCTTCTGCTGAAAACCCTTTACAACAAGTCTAGCCTTGTACCTCTTACTGCCATCATGCTCAGTCTTCACCCGGTACACCCACTTGTTGTGTAATGCCTTCTTCCCAGTTGGAAGATCTGCTAACTCCCAAGTCTGATTTTCAAGCAGAGAATTCATCTCCTCCTTCATGGCTAGCTCCCACTTGCTTGAATTTTCATCTTGTAAGATTTCTTCATAACTCTGAGGTT